GTCAGCTCATGCACACTGCTTTGGATAGCTTGGAAAGCACAGGCATGCAAAGCAATGTGATTACAGTGAAGCACAAACACATGGCCTCCTAGTAAAACACACAGCACACAGTTAACTCTTTGATCGCCCCTCATGTTAACCTCTTCCTGGCCAGTTCCATTATTATAGTGTCAGGGCTTTTTTTTACCACTGATCACTATATTAATGTCATTGGGGATGTCAGTGACGCCAAGTCAGTTCCCCCGTGTCAGAATGTCCTCCGCAGTCCAGCTATAAGTCGTTGATCGCTGCTATTACTATTAAAAATAAAAAAATCCCACGATATATACCGCCATTTGTAAACACTATAACTTTCAAGTAAACCAATTAATTTACACAAATTGTGTGTTTAATAACAAATAGTCTAGTAAATGTTTTTGTTTCCTCAAAATAGTTTTTTTTTTCCTCAAAATAGTTATAGCTCAAAAAATAAAATACACACAGGCAATCCAATACCACCAAAAGAATGCTCAATTCATGGTAAATAAGGACTACAATTTCATATGGGTGCAGTGCTGCATGACCGCACAATTGTCAAAGTACTACAGTGCCGTAACGCAAAAAATGGCCGGTCAGGAAGGGACGTAAACTCACAGACAGTTCCATTATATTACAGAGGGGAATCTCATTTAACTTTTTTTTATTTTTTTAGGATTCAATAATATTATTTTTAAAAAAAATGTATTTGAATTTTAAAATGTATGTTTGCAGTACATTTTAAATTTTAGGAATGATGTATAGGTGGTTGACAGATGCAGAATCAACCATCTCACTATACACTGATCATAAGATTAAAATCATTATTATTGTTTCAAATAATAATTATTGTTTTCAAATTTTATTAAAAGTTAGGTTTTAAAATAAAGGGTGGTGTATTGATTGTAGGTGGACTTATGTTTTATTATAATGAAAGTGTATTGTGTGTAGTGCTTTACTTTCCTTTTCTGATTCTCAAAACTGTAACCAAGTGATTTGTCATGAGGCCTTTCAGAGAATCAGAAGCGTTCTGAGCGTTTGTAGATCGCTCCTGTTCTCCGGAACAGAAGCAATCTACATAGCTTCATAAACGAGCACTCAGTGGAGAACATTATTATAAATGGACACCTTAATGAGGAGAATATATATGGTCATGCTTATGGAAAGGATCTATTATACATTGTAATATAAGATGCATCTATTTACTTGTAAATGGGATGCCTGGAAAACTCATCATCATACACTGCTCAAAAAAATTAAAGGAACACTTTGAAAACACATCGGGTCTCAATGGGGAAAAATATCATGCTGGATATGGACTGGATAATGTATTAGGAATGTAAGGATGCCCCATCGTTTGATGGAAATGAAAATTATCAACTTACAGAGGACTGAATTCAAAGACACCCTGAAAATCAAAGTGAAAAAATGATGCAGCAGGCTAGTCCATTTTGCTGAAAATACATTGCAGCAACTCAAATGGTATTCAGTAGTTTGTATAGCCCCCATGTGCTTGTAGGAATACCTGACAACATCAGGGCATGCTCCCAATAAGATGACGAATGGTGTCCTGGGGTATTTCCTCCCAGATCTGGACCAGGGCATCACTGAGCTCCTGGACAGTCTGAGGTGCAACCTGGCGGCGTTGGATGGACCGAAACATGATATCCCAGATGTGTTCTATTGGATTTAAGTCAGGTGAGCGTGGGAGCCATTCAATGGTATCAATTCCTTCATTCTCTAAGAACTGCCTGCATACTCTCACCACATGAGGTCGGGCATTGTCGTGCACCAGGAGGAACCCAGGACCCACTGCACCAGCGTAGGGTCTGACAATGGGTCCAAGGATTTCATCCCGATACCTAATGGCAGTCAGGGTGCCATTGTCTAGCCTGTAGAGATCTGTGCATCCTTTCATGGACATGCCTCCCCAGACCATCACTGACCCACCACCAAAACGGTCATGCTGAACGATGTTACAGGCAGCATAATGTTCTCTACAGCTTTTCCAGACCCTTTCAGGTCTGTCACTTGTGCTAAGGGTGACCCTTCTCTCATCTGTGAAAAGCACAAGTCGCCAGTGGCGGACCTGCCAATTCTGGTGTTCAATGGCAAATGCTAATCGAGCTCTATGGTGCCAGGCAGTGAGCACAGGGCCTACTAGAGGATGTCAGGCCCTCATGCTACCTTCATGAAGTCTGTTTCTGATTGTTTGGTCAGAGACATTCACACCAGTGGCCTGCTGGAGGTCATTTTGTAGGACTCTGGCAGTGCTTATCCTGTTCCTCCTTGCACACCTGTCCAGCTCTCTTAGAGTAACTGCCTGTCTCCTGGAATCTCCCTCATGCTCTTGAGACTGTGCTGGGAGACACAGCAAACCTTCTGGCAATGGGACGTATTGATGTGCCATCCTGGAGGAGTTGGACTGCCTGTGCAACCTCTGTAGGGTCCAGGTATTGCCTCATGTTACCAGTATTGACACTGACCCTAGCCAAATGCAAAACATTCAGAAAAGATGAGTAGGGAAAAAACATGTCAGTGGCCTTCCCCTGTAAAACCATTCCTGTTTTGGGGGTCATATCACTATTGCCCATCTAGTGCACCTGTTGTTAATTTCATTAACGCCAAAGCAGCTGAAACTGATTAACAACTCCCTCTGCTACTTAACCGACGTGATCAATATCTGAGGAATTTAATTGACTTGATGCTATACTCTGATTAAAAAGTGTTCCTTTAACTTTATTGAGCAGTGTATATTGTTTGACTGAACCACATGTGTATTCTTAATTCAGTCATTACGTCATTTTAATTTCTGATGCCTAGCCTGTTTAGCATGGGCTTCCTGTTAGTTATCCTTTTAACTTACTGTTCACTTTGTCCATCTAATTTGATTTGTTCATACCCTTGCCAAAAATTTATGGAATGTAATTCTGTTTTCGCAACTCATCCAGTAAACAGTTTGTAAACAAAAAACAAAAAGTGCACTGAAAAAACTTGTGGCGCTCTACATGTCAAACGTTCTTGAGCTACTTTGGGGAATTTATTGCGCGTAGGACAGCCCATTCGAGCGAATGGGCTGCCCTATACATAATGTGTTTATGCTTGAAAAACACGCAAAACAAAAGCGAACAGGAACATACGTTTCCGCTGTGCTCAGGTGTAAATAGAATGTTTGGGAGAAGATTTTAGGCAGCAAGAATGTCAAGGGAGGAGAGGTGAGAGTTAAAAAAAAACACTAATCTATCGAAGTCATAGCAATGCTTCTTATCAGTAAAGTATAGTTGTACAGCAAATTTGCGCTTGAAGTCGCTCTAGTGTCTAGTGAACCTGGACTAGGGTTGCCACCTCATCCCTTTAAAACCGAACACATTAATAACACAGGTTCTGAACAACCAGGACTGAACAAACGGCATTGCTTTTACTTTGAGGTAAACATTGTAGTAATAATACCCGCTTACCCTCCGCCTTATAGCAGAAATACTGCTACATGGCGGCAGGGGTGCGCAAAATCACATATATATATACATGATTTTGCATTTCCGGGTAGGGGGCGTGCGCGCGCCACGCATGCGCCCTTCCTGCGCCGCCATATGCGGCCTCGTCTGTCAATCACAGGGTCCCGGCCAGTGATTACCTGCCGGCACCCGGTGATCGCTGAGCATTACTGATGGGGGAGAGACCTGTGTATAAACAACACAGATCTCTCCCCTGTCAGCTCCAGCACACTGCTTTGTATGGCTCTACATAGCAGAGCCATACAAAGCAGTGTACTTACAGTGAAGCAAACACACAGCACATAATGTGAAACAGCACACATTTAACTCTTTGATCGCCCCACGTTAACCCCTTCCTGCCCAGTACCATTAGTACAGTGTCAGTGCTTTTTATTAGCACTGATCACTGTATTGGTGTCACTGGGGGTGTCAGTGACACCAAGTCAGTTCCCCCCAGTGTCAGAATGCCTGCCGCCATTATTAGTTAAAAAAAAAAAGATTCCAGCATATATACACCACCACCATTTGTAAACACTAAAACTTTCACGTAAACCAATTAATTTACACATATTGGGATTTTTTTTTTTAGCAAAGACATGTAGAAAAATACATTTTGGACTAAATTTATGACGAAATTTGATTTCATTTTTTTTACTGGACATGTTTAATAGCAAAAAGTCAAAAATATTTTTTTTAGCAAAATTGTCGGTATTTTATAGCACAAAAAATAAAAAACCGCACAGGCAATCAAATACCAACAAAAGAGAGCTCTATTTGTGCGGAAAAAAAGGACGTAAATTTAATTCAGGTGCAGCTTTGCATGACCACACAGTTGTCAAAGTAACGCAGCAAAAAATGGCCTGGTCAGGAAGGAGGGCAAGTGGATACAAAACATGAACTCCCTACAAAAAGTTTATATTTTCCCCCTGAGCAGGGGCGGCCTGACCATTTGGAAACTCAGGCACTGCCCGAGGGCCCAGGGTCAGTAGGGGGCCCCATAAGATGCCCCTGGTACCTTTTTCATAGGCTTTTTTTAAGTTTGGGCAAGGACACAGGGGCCCCATGATCCCCTATTGCCCAGGGGCCCCATGAGTTGTCAGTCTGCCCCTGACAACAGCACACGGGTTCACGAAGGCACAAAATATTGCTGAGCACAAAAGGGTTTCCTAGACAACGCCAGACTTCTGTCAGAAAATTCCGCCTTTTCTAGGCAGGGCTGCCTTTAGCGCTGCCTGAGCGGCAAAAGATGCATTTTTACAAATGTTAGAACTCCTTAGAAGAAGACAAACAAGACGTAGAAAATATTTATCAGTGACTCGGAAGGATAAAAAAAAATATGGCTGATCACGAGTAAAAACGAAAGGAATTCTATTGGTGAGTAGGTAGGCATGATATAGCCAGCCCTAGGGTGCCATGCAGGAACGGGCGCAGGCTGTGACTAAACGGGGGAGGAGAGTGTTGCAGCAGTAGGTCACTTTGAGGAAGGGAGCCATGATCAGCCGAATGCTCGGACCTCGCTATGTGCAGCTGGCCAAGAACTGGTGAGAGACGGCCATTACCTGCACATCCTCACACCTGGCTGCCTATAATTCACCATGTGTTGTCTTGTATATGGTGTGCAGCATTACAATACAAGTTCCTGTGTCGTGTACTCTGCGCTCCATTCCACCTTCTAACTGAGCAGACCATGTGTGATAGGGCTTATTTCAGCTTCTTCTCATGTACTTCATGCATATTTCTCCCTCTAGGATCCCCTCTCTCTTCACATGGGGAACAGTAGGAGGTGTTGGATTGGTATGGGCCACAGACTGGAGGCTAATCCTTGATTATGTTCCATATATAAACGGCAAGTTCAAGAAGGATGACTAAATGACTGGATTTATTTAAGTGAGTAACACATGTAATAAAAGCACTTTTTATTTTCAGGCTTCGTACACACCAGGCATCACAAAAACCCCACTTGAGGGCATTTGACCTTTTTTTCTGCCACTAAACACCCTTCCATGTTAGCCTATGTGCTCATGCACAGATAGGTGTTTACAGGCATTTAGAGACAGGAAAAAAAATGACTTGCGTGTTCAGGGAGAGGAGCGTTCGGGCAGGAAAAAGGGCAAACACGCCTAAATGCATGTAAATGTGCCAGGAGCGTTTAGCGCTGAAGCGTTCATTTCAGTGGCCAAAATAAATTGATATTCTGGCCATTGAAATGAATAAATGCCTGACGCTGCGAAATGTGTTTGCAAAACACAGCAGTAGATGTGTTTTTCCACTAACCACTCCTGACCCTCCTGAGAATCCCCCCCCCCTTCCTGACCAGGCCATTTTTTTGCGTTGCGGTGCTGGTATTGTAACAGACAATTGCGCCGTCATGCAATGCTACACCCAAATGAAATTTACGTCCCTTTTTTTTTTTTCACACTAATTGAGCCTTCTTTTTGGTGGTATTTGATCGCCAGTGCGGTTTTTATTTTTTGCGCTATAAAAAAAGCGACAATTTGGAGAAAAAAAACTATTTGACTTTTTGCTATAAAACATGTCCAGTAAAAAGAATTAAAAAATCAGATTTCAGCATACATTTAGGCCAAAATGTATTCTGCTACATGTCTTTGCTGAAAAAAAAATAAAACATATCCCAATATGTGTAAATTGCTTTACATGAAAGTTATAGTGTTTACAAATGGCGGTGTATATATACTGGGATTTTTTTCATTTTTTCTTATTTATTTTTAGTAGTAATGGCAGCGATCAGCAACTTATTGCGGGAATTCTGACACAGAGAGAACTGACTTGGTGACACCATACAGTGATCAGTGCTAATAAAAAGCACTCTCCGTGTACTAATGACACTGGGCAGGAAGGGGTTAACATGGGGCAATCAAAGGGTTAACTGTGTGCTGTTTTTACTAGGGGCTGTGTGTTAGTACTACACTGTAAGTACACTGCTTACATGCAAAGCAGTGTGCATGAGCTGACAGGGAGAACTGTTTTGTTTACTAACAGTTTACCCCCTCCCCCCCCCTCCATCAGAGATGCTCAGCAATCACCGGACGTCGGCAAGTAATTAGCGGCCAGGACCTGGTGATTGGTGGCACGGGTAGGGCGTGTGCACGCCTTGCGCGAGCCCCCTACCCAGAGATGCAAAATCACGTATTTTGCGCACCCGTGCTGCCCTGTAGCAGTATATTTGCTATAGGGCAGATGGGAAGCGGTCAATGCTGCCTTTTCCCCTGCCAGGTGAAAAGGCATTCAGAAGAGCTTGGCAGACACCCAGCTGGTTATTTACTAAAGCTGGAGAGTGCAAACTCTGGTGCACCTCTGCATAAAAACCAATCAGCTTCCAGGTTTTATTGTCAAAGCTTAAAGTGGTAGCAAACTCTCATTTCTATTTTCACCTACAGGGAAGCTTATAATAAAGTTTACCTGTAGGTAAAATGATTACCTCCTAAATGTGTATAGTTTAGGAGATATTCTACAGAGCTGCAGTCGGTGGCATCACTTGCGCTCCAAAAGAACTACCCGTGCCGTTCCTTCAGAGCTATGTGCCGTGGCCGAAACTCTCGTGCATGCACGGGAGTGATGTCATCGGTGGCCCAGCCATTCAAGCAGCTGCAGCTTGGGTACCCAGAAAGAACAGGTGAAGATGGAAGCCCTGTCAGCACATTGCTGGAGGGCTTAGTTTTTATGTAAGTTTCCCGTAATGTGTTAGTATACAATACATACTAGCACATTATATTACTTTGCAGGGGGAAACTTTTTTTTTTTTTTTTTCTTTTGGAACAAGTTTACTACCACTTTAATTGAACAAAAGGTGGATTTTTACAAATATTAGAACTCCTTAGAAGAAAAAAAAAACACATAGAAAATATCTATCAGTCAGAAGGAATAAAAAAAATAGGGTTCATCACAAGTAAAAAAGAAAGGAATTCTATTCATGAGTAGGCATTTAAATGAGCTTGGCAGACACCCAGGGGATTATTTGCTAAAGCTGGAGAGTGCAAAATCTGGTGTACCTCTGCTGGAGAGTGCAAAATCCCTCTGCATAGAAACCAATCAGCTTCCAGGTTTTATTGCCAAAGCTTTATTGAACAAGCTGAGGTTAGAAGCTGATTGGCTACCATGCACAGCTGAAACAGATTCTGGATGCCCCCCCCCCCCCGTGCATGAGTGTAGCTTTGTTGCATTACACCAAGCAATGTTACCGCTATATTTTCACAAATTGCCAGCTCAGCATTTATGCTACCCAGGGTTAGAGGTTGTGTTTGAGTGTTAGCCATTGTTGACCAGTACAGGTACAGCTAGCAACTCCTAGCCTAGTTTCACACTATTGCAGATGCACGTGTAAATCAGATGTGTTCCCCTACCCACAGTCAAAACTTGTTCATTAGCAGTCAGACAGGGTGCCATTTAATTCTTCAGCTTGTTTTTGGGTGTGTGAAGCCACATGGTTCTGAACCTTTCCTGTCTTGTTTCCCACAGGTGCAGCAGCCCATTCAAATGAATGGGCTGCTATCTCCACACGAACGCACCTGCACAGAGCCACAATAGTGTGAACTTAGCCTTAAGTCTTGTCTATGCTTACATTGTGTAATAACATGGTTGGTGGCCATGTTATATTGTGGCTAGGTAGTTAATCCACTACTTAACAGCTCATGTAAACAAGACCTAACTTTGAGGATCAGCAGGCCATCAGTAAGAAGAGTCAAACCAATTTTTTTTTTTTTAACCTGTTGCTGCCTACGTCACAGATATGTGCATTGGCAAAAGGGTGGGCTTTAATGCCCACACACCACCCATGTGCATCGCTGGACATCCAATGTTTTTGTGCTGAGTGTGCTCCCAGCATAGAGACTGAGCTGTCACAGTCCGCTCTCAGTCACTAATGATCAGGTTCCAACTGTGTGACCACTGTGACAGCCAATCACAACGGTCATATGATTGCCACTCTATGCTGCCCCTCCAGGCGTACAGACTCTATTAGAGGGATGCTAGGGCTGGATAGAAGGGGTTAAAGTGGAACTGGTTTATCTGTTTCCTAAAACGGTTGCATTGCAGTTATGCCATGGATAACTGGCACAGTTGCTTGGTCTCTCAGTTGAACTATCAAGCCATTACTGTTGTCATAACAGATCACGTGCAGCACTATGACAACTGCAGACCAGAGTCTACAGTTAAGGAAGCTGCCATCTTAAAGTGGAACAATACTCACCTTGGCTCCAGCGATGCAGCTTCACCGAGCTCCATGCCCAACCTCTGACATCTTCGTATAGCTGGCTTCCAGGTCTCGAGCACCAGCCTCTGTTATAGGCCGAGCGGAGATGATATCCCTCCCATGCATGTGTAGGAGTTAGGTCAGATTCAGCATTGCTGAATTTTTACAGTGAGCTGCAGATGGGCAGGTAAGTAGCTTTAATGCAAGAGACAACGCATGTCTCTTCTGCATTAAAAATCATGCCTGTCTGCCAGTTTTTATTTCTTAGCCTAAAGTTCTACTTTAAAGTATTGTAGGGTTTAATTCCACTTTAACAGAAGGTGTTTATGGCTAACTGAACTTTAAATTTTAAATCTGCAACATACATTCTGGTGCATTAAGACTGGGTTCATGCCAGCACTGCACTACAATGTGCGACCACTGGTGTGCTCTATGTTGAAGCAGTGAGGGGCAGTGCACTGTTACCTTCATCATTTTATCACAGTGCAGCATAAAAGTAATTGGGCAGCTCTAGAGAATCGCCTTTACGGGGCTCTCAAAGTGGTCATCTGTTCTCCCATCCCTCCTGCGATGAATTAGCCTGCACACAATGTGTGTTACGTTACCTCCGGGATCACAGCTATCATTGCTCGGCTAGTGTAGCTGAGGAGCAGATATTCAAACATATACAGCCCCACAATGTCTCCATAAAGAGTACCTGGCTGCAAGAAATGGTGATTTTTTTTTTTTTTTTTTTTTTTTTTTTTTTTTTTTACATGCATGCATGTTTTTCCCCAGTTCATTACATCATGTGCAGGTATACTTCCCTAACTATTGAATCTGCAGTTGCTGTATAGGCTGTTGAGAGAAGCACTAGCGAAATCCAAAGTATTTAGCAACAATAGCAAATCCAACATTTATTTTACGTGTAAAAGCTGACAAAACCCATCTTTCATGAACCTATGCTTAGTTGATACTTTTATATTATTTTATAAATTCCCTTAGAATCCTTTTTTTTTTTTTTTATTTATTTATTTAATATATATTAAAAAACATGTATGTATACTTTACAATAATGATTATTACAATTTTCCTGCCAGGGGGGAGGGGGGTTACCAGGCAATTTATTAAGAATGGAGTGTAATGACTTTTGGGTAATAAGAGTTTGCATGTCTGTACTTATACTTGATTGTTAACAATGGGGTACAGGGAAGTAATGGTCAGTTTAGGAAAGATTAGGACTAAAGAAATACTTTGTATTTGTTTTATATTTATAGTGGACTGTTTTTTTTTTTTATTTTTCAGCTTGAAGACTATGTGTGAATGTCATTTGCTACTCCAGTGTTTTGTGATCTGCTGCTGATATCTTCAGTGAAAACATGCCTTGAACAGTTTCAAATAAAGCTGGTTTTACATTTACATTATTAGTTTGTTACTTTATGGGAATGTGTTTTAACATACTTTAAGTGGAACTACACTATTTGGGGACCACAAACCAAAAACGCTATTTCATTCATTTTCTATATTTAAAGCAAACGTGCCCATCCATGCTTTATTTTGTTGAGAAATCACTTTGAAAAACACCCCTTCCTAGCTTTTCTTGCTGTGAACATCTTAAGGCCAGGTAGTATTTAGTTCCTGGAATCCATCTGCCCTTGATTCAGGCATGCAGGTAGGAGGG